CTTTTTGCTGTACTTTCAAAAGATTTTCAGTCTCTTTTTTGAAGTCTTTCATTTGGTTATCAAATCTTTAATTTTCAAGGTTTTTTTGTGGTGTTTTTTTTTTTGTGTGTTTTCTTTATGCTTTTGTTATCTCTCTATAGAATCAGTGTTGTGTGTTTTCCTCTCTTAAACTACCTTTCAGTTTGTTATATTATATGCATTCCTCAGTTCTCAGGAGATCCTTGGTCAGCTGCTTTAGAGTGAGACACTAAAAGCTGATTGGGAGGTATCCTAGTTCAGCCATATCCTAAGTAACTCCACTGACAGGTTTTTAATCTTTCCACCAGTGGCTGGTGCTGTGTGCCATGAAGTTGGTTCTGACTCATAGTGACCCTGTACAGGGTTTTCGAGGCTGTAAATCTTTACGGGAGCAGAACGCCTCATCTTTCTCCCGCAGAACAGCTGGTAGTTTCAAACTGCTGACCTTGCGGTTCACAGCCCGATTCGTAACCACTGCGCTACCAGAGAGTTGATCAAAGTGTCTAGAAAAAAAAAAAAAGTTTCTAATCTGGTGTGGTGCTGTTGGATTAGCACTGGACTGCTAATTGTAAGGGTGGTGGTTCAAACTCACCAGCTACTCCTTGGGAACCCTATGTAGGGTTACTATGAATCGGAAACAACTCTATGACACTTAGCATCAACAACAGTCTTCTTGCAGGGTGTATTTTATCAGTTGAAGTTGAAGAAGCCCAGTAGGGAAGAGAATTTGGTCGCTTTCACTGTTAGTCCCCTTGTTATTAGTTATTATATGCCCTCAGTTGTGCTTGATTTTCTGTAGTCTGTGCAGATTCTGTTATACTCTTTACAGAGGATGAGCGTCCAGTTTTTCTGGAGTGGGGATAGGGTAAGAAGGTGGCAGTTGTCACGTGGCTGTGTGAAATCAAGAAGGAATCATGGCTCTACCTGTAACTTAAAAAAATCAAGTTTTTTTAAAGCCTTATTTATAACCTAGTATTCACCTAGTGTGGCGCTGTGGGTTAATGTGTCAGATTGCAAAGTCGTTTGAACTGTAAGGTTGGTGGTTCAAGCTCACCAGCTGCTCCTTGGAAACCCTATATAGGGTTGCTATGGGTCAGAATTGACTCGACGGCACTTAATAACAACAACAACAACAAATTCACCTCTTTTATCCATGAATTCCTTCTGTTGTCATTTGCTGATCCTTTTGAGGAAAGCAACTTGGATAGTTCGTTGGCTTTCCCAATTTATTGGCCTACTATTCAACTTTCTCTAGGCAGCTAACACAGTTACTGTTCACCTATCTGCTTTCCAACTTACAAAGTTTGTTGGTTTTTATCTCCTTCTTTTTTGTTCTCTTTGTTATTGTGGATTTATAGCTTTAAAAAATTGCTCTACTGACATTTTAATGGAGTTTCAGGAAGGAAAAAATAAATAAATGCTGATTTTTCAATCCACTGTCTTCACCCCAGATTTTCTTAATCTTTGTGCACAAAATATTAGTTAATAAATCTCAGGAGTAAATAAAGCAAGTGTTTACTAGTTGAAAAAAAAAAAAAAACCTCATTGAAAGGTTTTATGTATTTTTTCACTTGGCAGAAGGCTGCTAACCTCAAGGTCAACAGTTTGAAATCACCAGCCGTTCCACGGGAGAAAGATAAGGCTTTCTATTCCCGTAAAGATTTTTTTATTTTTTTTATTAAATGTTTTTATTTTGGATTGAGTGAAAGTTTACAGGGCACATCATCAGCTTCACATTCAACCATTCATATAGTTTGTTTCATT